AAAAGGATGTAAAACAAAAGAAGTTGACATTTGAAGAACTGGTGAAAGTTTTATAGTCAGCAGAAATTCTTAAAATACTTCACACAGTGTAAACGGACAAGGACGATAATTACTTACATGTACACCAGACAAACTGTTTTCTAACCACACAAACAAATCTGATTCCTGGTGGTTAATCGAATAAAGTCGGTCTGTACCTCAATAACTAAACGTACAGATTGAGTCAGACTACTCCTTTGATTCAGTATTGTTTTTTTGTTTTGACCAATCGAACTCCATCCAACTTTCGATCTCCGAACGGTGGTCGAACATCGATCAAGCATGGGCATAAAAATATAGAAATCTTTCAATTAACTTGCATGTTTCGTACACAAACTAACTGCTGCAGACGAGGATAAATTTTCATTCAATTCATTTTATAGCAGCCATAGTGAATCCAACATGCTTTGATATACATGCTGATAATATATTAGGACTTATTTCTTTTTCTCCAGCTTCTCAGCTGTCTGGAATCCTAAATCCTTTAGTCTGATTGGCTAATCGCGCGCGCTCCAGCGGTCCGGATTTTCCCATCGATCCGGACCCCGAGTACGGACTGCTCCGAAATTTCCAACTTTGGCAACTTTTAAAGCCTTTTGTTACACCGTAAAGCAACGTAAAATGTAAACATTCAACACTGACAACTTTTCAAGCTTACTTTATCGCTTTTAACTTGTGCCCGACTGTTACGCCGGCGTCGCCGTTTAAGCTCCCTACTGTTTCACTTTGGCAAGTGATGTTTTACGCTCGCCGATTACTCATCATGAATTTTCTTTAATTATCCTTCCTGGATTACGGCAGCTTAATACACGACTTTGATTTTGATTCTGCTTTATCTCAAGCAGCTTCTGAGTCTTAAATTTTGAAGGGTCTTTATAACCTCTCTTTATCAATTGATGCTACAGTCCCCGTGGCACGTGTATCACAAAACTGCCCAATCATTGGTAAACGCGTTGTCATCATTTTCGTGACACAATAGGTTACCGTAGCAACAGCATGACCTGCTAAAAACGACCCTAATTAACTGTTTTCAGCCACCTTAAATCCTATTTTTTATGTTTCGAGGAATAAAACCATGACTGAAAAATAACCAGTGCACCTGCGTTTCGCGTAGCTTCACGTTGGGTGTTATTGTAATAAGCAGGGACAGAGATGACAGCATCAGTAACCTCTGTACCAAGGTGCGATTCCGCTATCTTCTTCATCTTCTTAAAAATCATGGCCGCAACCTATAAAAGTCAGGTGCACCACNGTTCTCTAACCACACGAAGCCGAAATCTGATTCCTGGTGGTCAATCGAATAAAGTCTGTATTCCAACAACTAAACGTACAGATTGAGTCCGCTGAGTTCAGTAACTCACCTCATGCTACTGAAACCGGGATAAGAGCCGGCCTGATGGGCCACTTGGCTCGTGAGCAGACTTAACCTAGCCTACTCCTTGTCGTGTATACCCATCCTGGATTACGGCACCAAAGTACATGACCTTGATTTTGATTCTGTTTTATCTCAAATGTTTCCACTTTGAAAGGCTTAGATTTTGAAGGGTCATTAGAGATAACCACTTTTTATCAACTGATGCTACAAGCGTGGTATCAAAACACTGCCCAATCATTGCTGAATACGCTGTCACCATTTTCGTGACACAATAGGTTACCATAGCAATAGTATGACCTGCTAAAACACTTTTAATTAAGTGTTTTGAGCCACCTTAAATCGCATTTTTTATGGTTTTGGGCGGATAAAACCATGACTGAAACACAGCATCCGCACCTGCATTTCGCGTGGCTTCACGTTGTGTGTCTTTGTAATAAGCAGGGACAGAGATGACAGCATCAGTAACCTCTGTACCAAGGTGCGATTCCGCTATCTTCTTCATCTTCTTAAAAATCATGGCCGCAACCTATAAAAGTCAGGTGCACCACATCCAGTAAACAAAGTTTATATGCAACTGATCAAATTATTCCCGCTACCTCAATTCCCTCAGCTGTTCATTTGCACGATATTACTGAAAACAAATAAAATGAGGGATTGTGTTTGTTCAAATTTGAGGCTTGGTTCGATTCCATCCTTTCCAGTCACTGAAAAACAACATGTAACTGAATAAACCACTTTTCAATTGCGTGCCGAAACATCAAAACGAAAATAATAAAAACTGAAGTGATTACCCAAAGTAATTAC